TCGCGAGAATTTTGTCATCGCAAATATTTCTCGCCGCGAACCGGTTCTTTAAGTGTATGTGTGTATTAAGTACGGATCAAAAATGCTTGATCGCGAAAATTAATCGTCCCAAACTAGTTTATCCCTGGTAAATCGCGAAATAAAGTCGTCGCGAATAAAAGTTGGTTTACAGTAGTTTGGTAGCAACGTTCATTCAAATGTCTTGCTTTCTCGGAGAAGATTTAACATCTCTCCCTAAGTGCAAATCTAACGCGATCAAACAATCCTTTTTAAACAAAAACCTAAAAACTTGGCGAGTTAAGAACTTCTGTGACCAAAAATACCATGTTTATTTCTGCTGGCTTTTCATTACTTTTATTCAACAAATCAAGTGTCAAAATTGTGACAGTTTTAACTGCAAAAGTGCAAGAAAATCTTGATCCAGGACGAGCCCCCAATTCTGTTATGGATCAGAATAACTATTTATGCCAACGATCAAACACAGAGTTTAACCTTAACAATAATTTGTTTACAGTAATACATACAAATCAAATCTGAGTCTACCTAATGCTGACAGATACATGTAAACTAGTCCATATAATGAAGCTAATCTGATTCTACTTAACGCATACAGATATATGTAAAGCAAGTCCATATTGTGAAGCTAAATTTATTCTACTTAATGCTTACAGGTAGTGCTAGTCAACTACTTTGGAGTTACAGACCTGGCATGCACGAACGACAAAAAGCGAAAAGGCAAACGCAGCGCACCGGTAAGAGGAATATGGGACTATACCCATCGCTTTATCTTCTACAGAGGGTATTATTTTGAATTCTTTGGTGAGTTATTTGTTTAATTGATGTACAATTGTACTAAGAGAAAGACACAAAAAGTAAAAAATAAGCAGTATTTCATTATCATTGAATACTGATATAGGGAAATTTTAGATCATCAAACTTTTTTTTCTAAATATCAATAATTAAAACTTCAGTATAAAACAATGTCAACCTCAGAAAATGCAAAATAAAAACTGTCAAACTAAAGCACAATAAATACTCTTTCATATAAAAATTCCGCCACCCTAAAAAATTCAAACAGATAAAATTTAGCAAATGACACGTAATCCAAGACAAAACAAAATCAAACACAAAAGTGCTAATGATATGTTAATTATTATTACATGTTTTCTCTTTTTGTGGTATGATCTCAACATCATCTGAAATAAGGTATATTTAAGGTTACATATATTGAAAATAGAGGCGATGGCGTATTCTAATGCTTTTAATGTAAGTGTAAGAAAATTCTCAACAAGAAAAAGAGCCATATAAAAATATCTCATCGTTTAAAAGTTTACCAGAAATTTTTAATTGCGTTCCAGAAAAATCTCAAGGTAAAAACTAATACCGAAAATATCATTGTAAATAAGGTATTATCATTTTGAAGTTTACTTTCTATTGTATACGAGTTTTCACTTGTTAATAGGGAATGTTGTTTTTGAATCGGTATATACAAATTAAAAAAAAATCTTAATTCAGTTGGTGCCAGTTTTATCTATGATTTATGTTAAAGAATCGAAAGACCTTAACAAAGAAGACACATAGTTTCCAAATGTAAGTCGTAGGACAAAATACTTTCTATGTTCGAGAATATTATTAATTGTTGAAAAGACTACTTTTCCGCCTAGTTAATTCCAATGCAAGGATTGAAAGAAGTCGTGCAGCTGGAGGCAAGTGTGGAGGAGGAAGAGAAAGACCTCCAGCTGGATACAGCTATCTAAGTTTGGATTGTATCAAACGATGTGCAATACGCTATTCATCCAAATTCGGAAAGTACGATAATGTTATAAATAACTGTCACAGCTTTGCTAATAAAATGTCTGAAGTTTTATGTAGAAGGGGCAGCACGTGCCCGTCGTGGTGCTACTGATGCATACCAATCTCGAAATACAATGATCATATGAGACTGTGGCAATAGACAAAATTTAATATTTTAAAAAAGTATTGTTCTTAAATTTTTTTTAAAAAGACATTGCTCTGTTCATAAAAAAGGAGAGATCAAGGAGAGGGAATTAAGTGTATTAAATTTATTTGAGAAAAAACAAAGGAAAATCCGAGTGTATTCTTTATATCAATGTAATGCCTAATTTTCATAAAATAACTTACAATCTTTTGCTTTTTACTTCTAACGTGTGATTTTTGTTATTGTTTTGTTAATTATTTAAACCACAGGCACTTGTTTCGCATATATTGCACCCTAGGTCTTCTTATTTTTACAGCAATGCAATGTACAATTTTTAAATGAAATGGAATTCGTAAATTTACTTACCTTGTCAGTGGTCATTTACAAAATTACTTAGTGTTAATAACATTCAGATTATACGCACAAGTACTCTAATGTTGATGTTTAAAAGATGCTCGAGTTTCTGATTGACAATATCTATGTGGTTTTTAGAGACCAGTTCTTCCAACAATCTATTGGAAATACCATGGGTACCAATTGCACCCCGTTATAAGCAGACCTATTTTGTATTCATATGAAGTAGACTTTGTTCACAATCTTTTTCGTGAATAAATTAATAGGTGGCCTTCAACGCGACATTTAGATAAATCGACGACGCATTCTCAATTGACAATAGTTATATCAATTCTTATGTTGATACGATATATCCCTCTGAGCTTGAAATAAAAATATACCTCAGAGCCTGACACATCTGTTTCGTATTTGGATCCTTTACGAGAAAAAGACGCTAATGGTTACCCAACAACAAAGCTTTATGATAAACGTAAAAACTTAACTTTTCAATCGTCATCTTCCCTTACTTATGCAGCAAAAATCTCTGTCACCTGCATACGGATTTTATATATCTCAATTGATTCGATACAGATGAGCATTTTCTGCGTATGAACAATTTCTAAAACGAGGTAAGTTATCGAAAAATAGGTTGATGAAGCAAGAATATCAGCAGTCTCGTTTAAAGTCATCATTTTGTAAGTTTCATGGTCGATACAATGACCTTGTCAGCAAACATAACAATTATTCATCTTTAAGTGAAATGCTGACTGACTTTTTTCATACTGATTGTTAGGCCATTATTTATACACTGAGTTGCCCACAATTTTTTTCCGTTATTTCCCGATCATGATAAGGAGCACACGGCAGGTATAACTCGTTAGAAGGAAATGCCCACTCCTCAATGACAAACGATTCTACCTCTGATGCTTTAAGCAATCTTACTGTTGTCGTTTATTAAATCCCACACAGCAAAGTATAAGCAATATCAGAATAAATTGTAAAATGTACTTATTATTGGGGACTTTTCTTTTGCAATTCATGTGCTCTTCATCACACATTTTGTGAGTATACATTTCTGTCACCCATTGAATTGTTAAAAAATAATCGGGCAGTGATTAATCAAACTATATCTACAAGACCTCTTATGTTAAAAAGATAAAAAAAAATTTTTTCATTCATAAAACATTCATTTATTCAGGAATGTCTCTGGCAATCAAATTTAAATAAAGTAAAATGCTTTTACTCACAACGAAAAGGTTAATGAAACTACTGATGCTCATGTTAATACATTGCAACTAATTATATTTTTTTCATGATTGCTATTAAACGTATCTGTTCCTTTGTTTATAATTTTCATTGAGGAGAACTCAAATATATATACTTTCTTAATTTCACTGATATAGAATTTCGCAAATTGAAATATTATTAAAAGTTTAAATTTATTGTTTACCTGAGTTTTCTGTGAATGTGTGGATATTTTGTCCTGTCATTACGTGCTCATTTGTTAATAAAACGAAGGTGAGTGCTGAGTCTCATATATCTCTCTTCTTACATGTATTCAACTTTATAAAAATATTTAATGTAAAAAATGACCTATTTTAATGACTGTGATTTATTTATTCAAAATTATTGCACGTAGCAGGTATTTTATTTGTAAACTCTGTCATTCCTATTTTCATAATGAAAGTGTTTTTGGAAATTTATTAGGAAAACCCAGTTGAAAACTTAAGTATAAAAACCTTGCGCTTTCCAAAGTAATACAGACTAAACAAATCCTGTCTATTTTTACCGTGACTTTTATTTATTTTGTTTTATGTCCTTTATCATAAATAAGAAAAATATTGAGGAAGACAGCTTTAGCCGGAACAAGATTTTATTTTTATCATTTTAAAATAAAGTAATTACCATGAAGACAAATGGAATAACCATTTTTCTTGTCGTAACAGTGATTTTAGCACTACATGTTTGTGAATTAATGGCGGAGGGCGATGAGAGAAGAGCTGTTACAGTAATTGTAAAACGCAGTTTGCTGAGTAGACTCTTGTCTAAATTTAAAGGTAAGTGTTATATTTCTGAACTTAATTTTTTTTCCAAGAAGAAAAATAACTATTCTATTTCAATTGATTAATCTATGCAAGTATAATTAATTCATTTAAGTATTTCTACCCCGTTCCTTCATGACTGAAGTTCTGACATTTAGTTTAGTCGAAATCATCCGTCGAATTTCATGGTTTTCTGTACAATACACGAGAAGTCCACAAGTGCTTTTAAGATATGAAGTTTTTGTTTTATGCGGTCAGGTTCTACAATGACATATTTAAGAAATATGGTGTCATTTAACAACTTATATCGGAATATTAATAAGGTTCAGTTATGTGACATAATTATTTTACTGTTTAACTCTCGATTAAAGCTTTAAAATGATACAGTGTACCATATAACTTGTATTAACATTTGACACTGATTTAGAATGTTTTATGATTTAGAAATTTTAACCCTTAAATGATTTAATTTGTACCAAACCTCAGCCGTATAAATTAGATGTGTTGAACTCTCGGCCACTTACGATATCACGTCAATCGGATATATAAATAAACAATAAATTTAAGGACACATGATGAACTTGTTTTACATAGAATTAAATACGTCTTGCTTAGACCGTGTTTTATAAGGGAAACATTTGTAAATGTTAATATTTCTTCGTAAACTTTGTCTGTCTGTTTAACGTTCCTGTGAGAATTTATTACTCATAACTAGGGATATTAACAAGTACCCGGTTAACCGGATACTCGCTCGAACTCCGAGTATCGAATATTGAACGGTTACTCAGATGTATATTTTTTCTTATTTCCAAGTACATATTTTTATCAAAAACTTATCACAAAAGAAAACAAAAACCAGTACATTTGCATTTGATTATTAGCGTGCCGTCATCTACACCTGTAAAGCACCTGTTATCGCCTGGGGCTATATACAGTAATTAGTGACCAATTACCTGGTCACAGCTGTTCTCACCTTTTGTTGCTCTTAATTTTTGGATGGCTTCAATTATGTGTTTACAATGAAAAATAGTTTTTGTATGGTCTATTATCTTTATTTGTCTTTAAATTATTTTGTTAGTATACCCTAGAGAAATTGGACATGCATAGAAATGTCTCTACCCAAATATTTAGACATATAGCTGAAGATAAAAAAGATTAAAAGTCAGCTCTGTGGAGTAAATTTAGCGTATACCGGGGAAAAAACGAATACATGAATAAATATACAACAAGCCATCCGAAAATTGTCCACTCCTTATTTTAAGCTAGTCTAATCATTACAAAGCTACGAGACAGACTGTCCTCTGATTGCGTTGATAAAAAAGAACCGTAAATAATTTGTAATAATTAGCGCATTAATTGATGTTTTTGTGTTTTGATATAACAGAGCTTAATTAACAATTTACATTTGTACCGAGTAACCGGGTACTCGATCTGAAAATCGTCCGAGTAACCGATTATTAAATATTGACTGATTTGACATCCCTACTCATAACTGAGGTCCCAAATTTGTATAATCTTTACTCATTATTTGGCAGATTACACCTCAAATAGTACAACACTTTAGCTGTAAGCCAGGCTAGCTTAGTGGGAGCAGCTGGCATTTATTTAATAACAATCCATAACAAACAGCATACATTAATGTTTATGTGATCAATGAAGTACTGCAATGGTTTGTTCAATGTAAGTTACGTGCTATGCATTATACCCCTGTCAAAGACATTAAAAACCGCCCAGGAAAAAACCATAGACGAGTAACTATGGAAAAACTGTGTCCGTCGCTATGTAAATAATGTCTCAAGGGAGAATGCCGGACGTGCATTCGGTGCAGTACTTGGTATGTATAAACACCATGTATGTACAGGTACAATAAAGCAAACTCAAAATATATGACAATATTGTTGTAAATATTATATATATAAATGTATTAATTTGAATATATATATATAGTCAAAAATGCGTGTGTGTTCTGTGGAGCACTGGCTTAGAATGATCCAACACCTCACAAAATACCGCCTTCTCATTGGCCTTCCTATGGCCACGCCTACCATAAACAGGCATTTCCAATAAAACACGTTCTTATCATACAATGTTTTCCCGCTATTCTAAGAAGAGCGGGAAAACTTTAGTATAATCTTCACTCATTATTTGACAGACTACACTTCAAATAATACAACACTTTAGCTGTAAGCCAGTCTAGCTTAGAATATCAAGTTCAAATGTTAATGCATGAAAAAAGATAACTTCAGATATCGAGTTTATAAATTTAAAATATTGATGAAGAAGTAACTGTTTTATCTAAGGTAAAATATTAGATGATTCCAACCCCCCTTTTTTATGACAATGTACTGTCCAAGCTGACTTTAATAATAATAATAATAATAATAATACTTTATTTATAGAAGGTAACCCGATTAGTGCAAGCACTAGTCTTCCTCGGGGCCCTCTTTATAACACATATACAATGTATATACACAATAAATACAAATCACAATAAGGAGACAATAAAAAAAATGGACAGTACATGCATGTAACCAAATAAATAAACAAATAAATAAAACATAAATATTTCAGCATAGAGCGAGAGAGAAAATAGAAAATCACGTCG